ATTCCACAGCAGATGAAACATCTTTCAAAATAAAGAATACAAACAAAATTTGAAAGTATTCATTGCAAGGAGACCAGTAAAACAAGAAAAGTTAAAAGAAATTTTTAAGAGAGAAAGAATATGATACCAGACATTCACTTAGATCTACATTAAAATATAGAGGGGAAAACTGGAAATGAAATCAATGTAAAAAACATTCTTACTTTCAATAACCATAAAAAACAACTGATTATCAAAAGCAGTGATCAGCAAACTATGACCCACTGGCCAAATCTTGCCTTTTGCAGGCCAATTCATCTATATGTTCGTTTATCTATTGATTATGGCCATTTCACACGATAAGGAGAGAGCCGAGTGTGGTATGCAAAGAGAGTGAGGGACTCACAAAATCAAAAATATGTATTCGGTGGTCCTTTATAGAAAGTGCTTTCCAACCTCTGGTCTACAGCAATGAGAGTAAAATATCATGTCTTATCTGACAGAATTATGACAATAGCAAAGTATGGAAGGGACACACTGGGAATATCAGTGATGAAGACCTTACATTATACATGAAGCATGTATCATTTGCGAGTAGAAAGTGATTATATAAAGATATATTTGGAGAATTCTGAGTTAATGACAAAAAAGAAAAAAGTTATAAATGATAAGTAAATACTGCAGACTAAATGTTAACATAAAAATTGTTCAACTAGTGGAAAAGAAAACAGAAAAAAAAAAAAGGAAACAAAGAATAAAACATGAAGCTGTCAACAAGATGGTAGATTTAATCAATCCAACCATATTAATAATCATATTAGGTACAAATAGTATAATGGCACCAAGTTAAAATATAATTTCATGTTGTATTAAATAAAGGAGAACCCAACCATATGCAATGTACAAGAAAACCACTTCAAAGACATAGATAAAATAAAAGAATGAAAAAAGATATACCTAGCAAACACTGATCAAGGAAAATTAGACAATTATATTAATGTCAAAGCAGACTTAAGAACAAATAAAATTACCAGAAATAAATGGGAATATTATATAGTAAGAAAGTATTCAATTATCCACAAATCATAACAATCCTAAATGTTTAATGCACGTAACAAAAGATCTTTGCAACATATGAAGAAAAAACTGACAGATCTGAAGAGAGACATAGACATATTCACAAATTTGTTTGGACTCTTCAACATTCCTTTATCAGTAGACAGTAAACAAGTAGACAGAAAATCTTCAAGGATAGAGAAGGCCTTAGCATGCTAGGAAGAACCTGAACCAATTCAAACGTATAAAGTACTTCATTCAACAACAGCAGAGTATACACGCTTTTCTAGGGAAAATCAATGAAACCAAAGGCTGGGCATCTATAGCAATATGAAAGCTTTATGGAATATCACCACTCCACAGTCACAAATGTAAACTTTAAACTTAATGCAAATAGTTATTATAAAAGGAAAATTTATGATAACATATTTGACGTTATTAAGTACATTTAAACATTATGCATCTAATTCATCTCACTGTAACTTCTTTTATGTACACATTTTTTTAAGGCAGAAAATTCAGCAATAAGAATTGTATCCTTACTAAAACAAATATTTCATACTTTCAGGAAATATTCTAATGTTTACAACCATCTGGTGTTTGTGAAACAAGAATTAAGAAAACAAAGGAAGAACTTGCTCATCTTTATGTCCCCAGAATCTAGCACAAACTTGGAAGATCATGGAAACTCAAACCGTATTTAGTGCTAAACTGAAAGAAAGGGAAGGTAATTTTAAAGTCATAGAGTACACTATGTTTTGCTAAATGTAGCAGTCCTCTATTTTGCCATAACAAATTAATACAAATTTAGTTGCTTAAAACAATGTAAATTTATTATCTTACAGTTTTGCATTTCAGAAGTGATGATATGTGTCTTAATATGCCAAGATCAAGGCCAGGTGTTGGACTGGATACCATCCCTTTCTGGAGGCTCTAGGAAAGAATCCCTTTTTTTGACATTCAAGCTTGTAGAGGCTACCACATTCTTTGGCTCACAAACTTCTTGTTCTGTCTTCAAAGACAGCAACAATGAGTCAAGTCTCTCATTGCATCTCTTTGACTCTCTCTTCCCTCTTCTATTTTTAAGGACTTATGTGACTAGATCATCTGTACCCAAATAATAAAGGATAATACCATCTCAAGGTCAGATGATTAGCAACTTTTTGCACCTGCAACCCTAATTCTCTTTTGCCACATAATATATTCACAGATTGTGGGAATTAGGATGTGGACACCTTGGAGGCCATTTTCTGACTAGTCTACTGAGGTTTTAGAAAACTGTATAAAATAAGAAGGTATTCATCTGGTATTTTTAGATTTGTAATATAGCAATACGACAGAATACATGATACGCAATATTTTACTTAAAAGACTTGAAAAGGATACAAATCTATCACATGCTATTATAATGTATCTGATACATTATAATGATAATCGGATTTTAAACATAACATCACTAGTTTATCATTCTTTTCAATGAAGGGTTGAGCCATTAGGATTTATGCACATCACATTTCTAATTGTAAAAGCAGAAAATCAACCAACTTGTACTCTGTGATACAACAGTATAGTTACTTCATACAATAATTCAATTTAAGATAAAAAGGAGGCCATTTATATCAAAGGAAAAATATGAATGTTAAATATGTAGTCAAAGCATAGTCAACCAAATAACAACTTAAATAGCCTTTATTTGCTAACTTCTTCAATTCAAAGAATGCCAGAGTCAGCATGCCAGCTCCCTGGATTAAAGTAGGGTTCTCAATTAGTATTCCAACAAATTATTTTTTGCCTGCTAACAATGAGTATAATTCAATATTTAACTCGTTAAGAAAGTATTTATTTATAAATTGATTATGTCACTTTTATTATCAAGGTTTCTTTTTAATTTTGTCTAGGAGAAAAATCATTAAAAAGTAAAATATTTCTATCAGTAGTGAAGCTGTCAACATTTAAAATCAAAATGACTGTATTATTGTAAATGTTTAGAATTAATGTTCATAAATATGATATAATGGTAAAATATTACACAGGGGAAAAGGTCTTTATAAATATGAGATCAGAACAAACATATTAACTGAAAATTTTCTTGACTACAAACTATCCCAAACATAGTATAACAGAAATATTATTTATATATAAAATTTATATTTACTATAAATATGATTTATATATGTTTATATATTATAAATAGGTATTCATATAATAGTTATATTTATATTGGAGGGGAAAAAACCCTCATTGTATACTATTCAATTTGCAAATGAAAATTAAAACTTTAAACCACAACGATTTTCTCTGTCAATCTAGCATAGTTTTTTAGCCATATCAAGGCAGTCTTGAAATAATAATAAAGATTTAAATGTTACACAAATATTTTGTTAAAAACAGAAAAATATCATTTGGAAAGATTCTTCCAAATAGAAAATAGAGACAGACACACACATACATACTGACCACATAGAAGTCAATGTTATCTTAACCGCCCAAGCCTATTTTATGTCATAACACAGATAGAACATAGAAACTAAAGTTCTTAGTATACTAGAAAGTTAAATTTTATAACTCCTGGAAAAAAGTTAGTCCATACAAGGAAAACAAGATATCTTGCACATATGTGATATAGATTTACAGAATTCTACAGTGTTCTGTTTACCAAAGATTCTTGTGTTTCTCTATATATATAGCAGCTCTAAAGTGAATTTATGCCTTTATGTAGAGCTAGAAAAATTCAGAACACCCAATTTCTTCTTCTAGCTCTACTGGTAGGGGCACTAACAAGATAAATAAAGCAGAAACTGGAAGGTTTTACAAAGAGTATATATTAACAAACAAGAATTTTGAGGCACCAACTTATGTTTTTTCTATAATTCACCTGTGAGACAATATAACTCTATCTAAATATATATATATATATATAATTGGAGTGCCAGAAGGAAAGGGAAGAAGGGAAAGGTTAGAAGAGGTGGGAACAACAATAAGAATCAGTTAAGTTACAGGGGTATATTGTAAAAAGCTACACAGTTATAAAATAAATAAAATGAATGAATAAACATAAGCCAGAAGAAAATATAAAATTGAATAATACACATATATAATGTAAGAGAAGGAAGAAAGAGGAAAAAAAGAAACATAGGTGGAACGGAAAATAAACAGAAAAATAGCAGATTTAAAATCATATCATTATTACATTAAACACAAATGAAAATAGACATTAAGAAAGAAGAGACTGTAGGAATAATTTTAAACAGAAAAGCAACACCAAATTATGTGCTACGTGCCTAAAATTTGAAACAGCCCCGATATCTAACAACGGGTGAATGTAAAAGCAAATTTGTCAAAATCATATAATAGAATACTACTCATTAATAAAAACGACAAAGCTATTGATAGTTAAGTACATTTCAAAATATTGTGCTGAGCAAAAGACAGATCCATTTCTGGATCTCATAGAAATCAGATCTGACAGAGGTCAGACCCAGCTGGTATGTATACGATTTTCAGCAGTGGGGTAGAAGGTGGGCCTGAATAAAGGAATCATGATGAAACTTTTTGGGCTACAGAAATATTTTACTTCTTGATTGGGGTGATATTCATACAGGTATATACCTTTGAGAAACATCAATGAGCTATAAACTTAAAGTGAGAAATTCACTGTATTTAATGTACATCATAATTCAATAAAATTGAGAAAGTGAATTAAATTAAAAATCAACAATATAGCCAGAAATGGTCCAAAATTTAAAAATTAAACAATATACAGTAAGGCATTAAGGACAGTGTTAAAAGGTGGTTGCCTGGATGTTTAAGGTAATATATATAGTTTAATTTGGAGGTTTGAGCTTAACACTACAATTAATAATAATTTGAAAACTGATTAGCAATTTAAAGTTACACAAAAAAATTTATATGCATATATACAGACATACACACACACACACACATACACACACACACACAATTACCAATTGAAGCTGAGCGCATTTGCCTCATATGAGTTTCTATGACAGAAGGATCCCGAGAGCTGTAAATTCCCAATTCAGGATAAAAGCTGGAGCCAATGTCATCTGGAGGGTTGTGTCTCCCTTGCGGATAATGCTTGGCTATTCTAGGGTCCCAGTGCTCCAACACTGGATGATTCCAATGTATATATTTACCGTCAAATTGTGGATTTCCATACCAACTATAATAAAATACATGTAGATAGTAATTCAGAGGTGGTAGTTCTTCCAAGTTAAGTTCAGGGGCTTTGGAAGGCTTCATAGTGATTTCAACACTTTTTAAATTCTTGCTATTTGTTTCACTGTTGATTTTGTCACTCTTTTGGAAGTCAAAATTTTTCCCCAAATGAATAGTTCGTTGATGAAGTTCTGGAAGAAGATCAAGTCCAAAAGGAGCTCCAAATGTAGCTGTATTTGGTCTCAGCATTTTTAAACCCATCATCAGAGAGAAAATAAATAGAATAAAAAATGCCAAAATGATGCAAGTCCTTCTCCGAAACTTTGCCATGATGACATACTTTAAACTCCAAAATAGTGTTTTGCTGCAATTTATTGAAAAAAGATAATTAGTGTTATCAACAATATTTTCTAATATATTCAACATTAAAAGTAAAATCCATAAATTTTATTATGTTGAATAATTAAAACAGATTTCATAATATATTGGTAAAATTAAGGAAGTACAGTGTGATATTAATTATATCATCATATATCAATGTCTACAAAAAGAGTCTATGGCTAGAATAAATGACAACATTCATTTGGATATATCACTATGTGTATGCCAACTACATTTAGTCAGACGAACCCTTAGGAAATTGTATTTAAGATATTAAAATATGGTTTTCATTACTTGAACAGATTACATGTCTACTGAATGTAGAAAGGGAATATTTTATGTATATTAACTAAAATTTTCTTTTAAAAAATCATTTTTTTTTTTTTTTTATTGTAGAGGCGGGGTCTCTCTATGTTGACCAGGCTGGTCTTGAAGTCTTGGGCTCAAGGGGTCCTCCTGTCTCAGCCTCTCACATTACTGGGATTACAGGTATGAGTCACTACATCCCTGGCCTGAACTAAAATTTTCTAAATCTAAGTGTAAAATTTACAAATCACAGTTAATAAAAAGAATATACTTATGAGTGTATAAAAATCCCAGATGTTAAACAGATTTTCCAAAATTATTTTAACTAGGATAACAATTTCATAAAAGGGAAAATTACTCATTTTAAATAACATTTTGAAGTAAAATAGAATCAGACAAAATTTTTTAAATGACAGTAGGGAAAAAAGAAAACCATCAGTTAGATATTCCCAATTTTTTAAACAAAATTCATTAGGCTGGGGATGGTGGCTCATGCCTGTAATCCTAGCACTTTGGGAGGCCCCAGCCCTATTTTTTTTTTTTTTTAATTAGCTGAGCATGGTGGTATGTGCCTGTGTTACCCAGCTACTCATGAGGCTGAGAGGGAAGGATTTCTTCAATCTAGGAGGTCAAGGCTGCAGTAAGCCATGACTGTGCCACTGCACTGCAGCCTGGGTGATAGAGCAAGAAAACATCTCAAAACATAAAAAATTAATTTATGACTCTGAAAATCTTACTGAACAGAGATTACAAACAGTAACTTATAACTTCTAAAATGGTATTATATGTGTTTTTGTTTTAGTAAGTATGTTTATGGACACATATTAGTGCAGTGCTTCTTGGCTGATTAAGAAAAGGCATTATTGGTGTACATATATATATATGTAAGTATATTATATAAGTACATATACATCTTATGAATGAAATATTCAAAGATTTTATATACAAATTTCTTATTAGAAAGGTATTTGGCACAATGCTGACATTAACTGATTTATAAAATATGAGTTTCTATGATATATCATGTGCTGTTACTCTAGAGAATTAAGTTAAAACATACCTCTAATAAAAAAGTCAGACAAGCAAAACTTCCTACAAACTGCTGCTTCTATTATATGTGTATTTCAGAAACACTAACCAAGCATATGTCTTTTACAGTTAAAATTGTAAGAATTATTTTTAAGGTCAATCTTGTTTAATTATGAATAGTGAATAATATAAATATAAATAATAATATAAAGGATAGTATAAAAGACATGTCTAATTTAAAACATATAAACATTCAAAAAGAAATCTGCCAGCTTAAAAGCTCCTTTCCACTTCTTGCATTCCCACTGAATCACCAGTCCCGCTCTTCTCCCTGCCTAAGGGCAACTGCTTGACTTTCGTGTTTACCATTATGCCTCATCTTTCTTTCTAGTTTTCCCACCACACAAGCATATCTAACTAAAGTTAATTGTGTTTTGTCTGTTTCAAACTTTAAGTAAATATGGTGTGCATATATATATATATATAAATATACACACACACAATTATGAACACGTATGTATATGTATTACGTATACACACAATATGTATACTGTGCATATATATCAATGCATGTAGGCACATATACATGTGTATATGTACACATGCACATACATATGTATTTACATATTAAGCATTTTGTTATATATGGATACACATGTCATACATATATTTACATATAATATAAATATCTATGATTATATATACATAATTACATGTATTTAAAATTTATAAAACTCTTAAGAAACAATATTGATTACTAAACCTTTTCTGACACTTTACCTCATATCCTAACTCTTCCCCATCCCTGCACTCTAACACATCAGTTCCCTTCCTCTCTAATAAAAAGCTATGTAAATGAACTTTTAGTAAAGGAATAGGTAGACAGGTCTGGAGATTTTTTTTTTAATAACTATATACATATTGGCAAAATGTTCCTCCAGAAGATATCTAATTAATTAAAAATGGGGACATAACAACAGTGGAAAAGCTACCAAAATACCAATTTATAGTGATCAAAACTGACTTTATTAGTTAATTTTGGGCAAATAAGTATGACCATTAGTCTCCAGAGAAGTTGTACTGAGAAAAACACAGAATCACTGCTATGGTATTCCTGTTAAAAATTAATCCAGAACTAATCATGAGGAAGCATCAGACAATATATTAAAAGAGGATACACACACACATACACACACATAAATACACACACATTCATACATACATGCACACCACATACATACACTATATATATGCTTACATACAATGCAACATATAATAGGTAAGGGTGTGTGTGTGTATAATGGTAAGCAAAGGTAGTAAAATATTACCATTTGGTGAGTGTGCAGGAAAAATATAAAGAAAATATTTGTGCTATTTATCCCAGCAGTAAATTGAAGGATATGAGCTGTTACATACCTCCTTATTTCTGGAAAGCGCCAAATCATAAAGTCTTTCAGACCCTGCACTGCATGACTCTAGGAAATGAAATTCTACATTTGAGTTGTGGCAGTCCTGTTGCACTGATACAAAATAGTGATACAACCATTTTGGCACGCAACTTTAATTTGTTTCCTGAAATTTTCAAATTATTGACATCACAATAAATACTTCCCTTTTCTTAAAGAAAGGGAGATTTTTGATGAGATATGTAGCAAAAATAGTATTTTGGATGTAATATCATATCAACTATATTAAAGATACACACAGAAGGAAATAAACATAAAATTAAAAAAAATAGTTACGTCTGGGTGAGACAGTGATATTTTCTTACTCTGTTGTCTAAAACTAGAACATAATACTTCATAAGGAAGAAGTTTAGGTAGGTATTCTATAAGCAAAAAATCAATGGTAATCAATGTCGCAAGAGTTACAGAGAAAGGAGAAACAACTAACAGATTTAGAAATGAATAAGGCATTGATTTTTGAAATGTTGACTTCAGCTGTATGGTGAGATGCATGAAAGATCAAGATATATAATAAAAAGAATATTGGTCTTGAAATCTGAAGATGTAAATTCAAATCAGTCATGCTGACTTAGTTGTGTGATCCCGGAAGGTCACTTAGCCTTTTCTTAAAAAAGAGGATATTTGTTTTGCCTAACGACAAAACTGTTCTGTGAATCATGCAAGACAAATTGAAAGAGTAATGTTTTAATTAAACAGTAAATACTAATGAATTTATAAATAAATGAAAAGTGAAGAAACACAGGAAACAATGGAAACTTTAAACATTTTCTTAGGTTCATTTTCTGGATCTACACATGAATACAAAGCACAAAATGTCCATTTATGGAAGCTGTTTTTTTTCTCTCTCTCTCTTACCTATAAATGTAATTTCTTAAGCTGATCCCTCTATCTTCTCATTTTACATTACTTCATTGATTCAGTTAAAATGTGTGTTTACCACATTATTATAGATGACACACAAGCTCAATTTTGCGAGAGGATCTACTGGCTCTGGCTTATCCTCTGTATCCAAATTAAGCCATCTCAACCTAAATAAACACAGACGGACACGGAGATTAAAAATATGATCTCTATAGGTCAAATGACTGAGTCCAAATTCCAGGTGTGCCATTTTTTAGTTATCTGACCTACAAAACTGACCTAATCTTTCTGAGTTCCTTTCCTCACCTATAAAATGAGTTATAACTTCACTCATATTTTGTGAGGATGAAATTAGTTAATATTGTAAAACTCTCAGAAACATGTGGCTTGCTAAATAAATGTGAGCAATTGTCTAGGATGATGATTAAATATGGTTGTCTGGCAAGCAATTAAAATGTAACACATTTTATTCTAAGTGCCTATTTTCTCTATATGACCAACTATTGAAATACCAGTCACCTTCAAGTCAAAGTTGAAATGCTGCCTCTTCTTGATACCTCTTGATTCCACAGTGAAAAGTACTTACTCCTCATATATGTTATTGTTAAGAGTATTTACTTTTTAAATTGTCATTTCTTATGGGTTATATCATGCTATGCATTTATATCCCCTACTAGATTGCTCCTAACAAGTTTCAGAAATGGAGTCTTTATCTTCCCATTCTAGTACAGTATAACATCTCTTCCACATAGTGTTCATTAAATGTTCAGCTGAAAAAAGTGAATTTCTGGCTCTTTGGTGTTTGATTGGTTTTTGGGCAGTATATATATATGTGTATGTGTATATATGTATATATTTTTGTGTGAGTATACACACACATATATATAGAGAGAGAAAGATTACTGAGAGTAAACACACTTGATAAGTTTACAGTGTATACTGAACATATTATATAGAATCATAAAGATCCAATAATTTTAAAAATCCAATTTAATAGAAAAAATCATCCATCTTCAACACTGCAAAACCACAATGACCCTTGAGATCCCTGAAATATCTGATATTGCAGGAAAGGGGTAGAGGAACTAATTTAGCTTCAAAAAAAGAAAAGTTTTATAAGTCACTATAAGGAAAAAATTGCAAGTTAATTGCAGATGTATGTTTCCAAAACAGGAACCTACTCAAAGTATTGGCTACTGAAAACCTGTTTTCTCCTCAAAAGCCTTTTTACATTACTCATACACAACAGGTTCTTTTGAAGCTATAGCTTGTATTTTGTGAGTTTTGTGCATTTAATCCTTTGAAATCCTGATCTGAAGTTTAGTGAATTTTAATAAAAAATTATTGGACATATCCGGCTAGCTACGAGACTCCAAGAGATTCAGAGGCAGGGTGGTATGAGTTAGTACTTCAAAAATTATTTGCTGTTATCATGTAACTCAGAAAAGCCAAAAATACTTCCCCTTTTAATTACTATTAACTAAATTAAATCACACAAGCTTCTGGTGCCTTTTTTTTTTAATTTCTTCTAAATTTATTCTATATGAAGCCACCAGAGATAAACAGAACCCAATACTAGAAGACACATCTGTAACTTTCAAAATCAGTTTCTGTACCAAGGCTTCCTTGCCCAGATTAGTTTTACTATAAATACTTGTACCCTCTGGTTAACAGAAATTCAGTTAGATATAGTTTCATCTTCCATTCTAATCTTCACAACAACCTATGAAGTAGAATTTTTAATCCCATTATACAGATGACAAAACTGAGCAGCTGGTAACTTTTTCAAAATCTCTGGGCCGGCAAATGGCCAAGCAACCAAGCTGAGGTTAATCACTTAGCAAAGAGCAGATCAAGTCTGGCTCAAGAACTCAAGTTCTTGGCCTGATACTATTCTACTTTCCTTTAAGGTATTAGACAAGTCAAATTTAAAGGATACATCACGGTTATTTTTGTGACATAAGATGAAAGCTGCTGCTATATGGTTTTTTCAATTAAAGATTATGTACTTAATAAACAGTGATTGTTACCTACTTCATAAACTGTAGCCCAATCGTAATCTAAAGGCAGCTTATTCTATTTTTCTGATCATACATTCACTATTTATCACACGAATAACAGCAACAGCTTTGGAAATGGTATTTTAATTGCTTTGTTTTACTGCTTGTTTGTTTTAGAGGGTGTTTTTCCGCATTGAGCCTGAAAGTCCACAAATTCACAGCACTCTGGTTTTTTCAGGTGGGATACAAAGATGTGTTGTCATGAAAGTGATTTGCAAACAGTGTGACACAGTAACACCAATATCTGTTTTACTTTATATATATTTTTCAAACTACTGCCTGAATACTTTAAGGCGAAGAGCCTATTCCAGTCCCATTTTTCTTATTTTCAAGTTCATAATCAACAGTATCCCTCACCCCTTGTTTTTTTTTTTTTTTTTTTGAGACGGAGTTTCGCTCTTGTTGCCCAGGCTGGAGTGCAATGGCGCGATCTCGGCTCACTGCAACCTCCGCCTCCTGGGTTCAGGCAATTCTCCTCCCTCAGCCTCCTGAGTCGCTGGGATTACAGGCACGCGCCACCATGCCCAGCTAATTATTTGTATTTTTAGTAGAGATGGAGTTTCACCATGTTGACCAGGATGGTCCCGATTTCTTGACCTTGTGATCCACCCGCCTTGGCCTCCCAAAGTGCTGGGATTACAGGCGTGAGCCACCGCGCCCGGCCCCCTTGTTGTTTTATAGCACTTCCACCCTTCCCCTGACACTTATCCGTTGGGTCTTGCAACAATAAAACGAAATAGTTATAACTGACTGTACTTCAAGTTGCTTCTTTGGAAAAAGGAACAAAAAAAACCACTAATCCAGCACTGTTGCATACCGAGACTTTACTAGTAAAGGGTAAGAGTCTAAGATGACAGTGCCAAACACGTTAACAGATGAACGGAAAAAGCATCTCCAGCGGCCTCGCCATCCAACAGTCTCCTCCCGATGCCCAGAGGCGCTGAGACAGGCGCCAGCTACCTTTCCTCTGCACCCTCAGCCCAGCAGGCCTCCGTCCTTCCACTCTCTCGGTCTGCTCAAGGCCCCGAGGCAGTCTGCGGGCACAAGGAGAAGGTGCTGAAAAAGGATTCCATCCGTCCCGAAATTTCCAACTTGCCGGGGAGACAAGGAAAAACCGAGGCGACAGGAGGTTCCGTCCCAAAGAGGAGGCAGCAAGGGGGCCGGTGGGATGGGTGATAAAGCAGTGTAAAAAGCAGTAAAACTAAAGAACGCAGACTAACACAAGGGTAAGAGTGACAGCGTTGGCTCATCTGAGGTCTCTAGGCTCGCCGCGCGGCGCCTGCAGCTGCCTGCCAGAGGGACGCCGGGTCAAAGGGCACTAGCAGGAAAGCAGCCACCAGATTGGCTGCCGGGAGAGCGCGCAGGCGCCTGCGGTGGACCTCGTGCCTGCCACAACCGCCTCCGCGGGGCCTAATCCTGCAGCTACTCACCTGGGTCGGGGAATTGGCTTCCTGCAGGGATTCGGCCAGCGGAGAGGTTAAGACTCAGAACACCGAGCCGACCGCAGCCTCGCGGCGAGCCCAGCCAGCCCCGCCTCCCGAAGGCGCGCGCAGGGCGTTCCGGGACCCCCTCCGGGGCGGGACGGGCGGGGGCGGGGCCACGGGGCGGGCGGGGCTCGGCGTCTCCCGGCGCCTCCCGTTGCGCGTCTGGGACGCCGAGGGCGGGAGGAGCGCGGATGAAAGACAGAATTGCGTTTGAGGCGTTCTGAGTACGGAAAGACGTGAATTGGAGTTAAACTGCGCTCCCGTCCTATTTCTGCAAGTAGAACTTACTGCCCTTAAAAAAGGTCTGTTGGGAGGCTCTAAGTTACAGAGGACGTATTTTTGTTTGTTTTTATGTGAAGCGTTCAAAAGTTGCTTTTAACCGAGTACACTGGTTTTCAAATTTTTTAAGATGAGGAACTGTTTTGATTCTAAGAATAGAAATTTACTTGGAAACCCAAGGTAGGCACATGCAGATGGCGTTTTTTATTTGAATGTATTCTGTAAAATTACATCAGTACTGAAATACTAGAAATAATTGAGGAGAAGTCAGATGTGAAGAGCAAGAACTTTTGAAATAGGATTACAACTGAAGGTTTCCATCTTACATTAGTTTCAGAAAACAAGAAAATACTATATTTTGTTTGGTTCCAATAGTAACAGGAAATCCTTATTCGAGCTAGAACATGCTGATGTGAACAGTTTTGTAAGAGCTCTCCTTAAAAGTTCCCTGGAATTTTTACACCAATTTTAATTAGGAAGTATACATATGAGTATATCTCATGTGTATATCTTAAAGAAGAAAAATGAAAACTGCCCAGGGACCTACTACAGAGCTTAAGAAAACACACAAAAAACCTGTTTTTGAAGCCTTCTAGAAAGGCCTCTCTAAAAACATCTTCTTTTTTCCCTTCACCATTATGCTGAATTTTATGTTACTCATTCCCTTGCATTTCTGAAAATAGTTATATATGTACAATTCCGTAAAAATACAATTTTCCTGGTTTTATATGTGAATCATTGTTTCCCTTTTTTTTCACTATCCTTTTAGGTTTTGAGAGGTTTTGTGATTCGTCTATATGCAAGTCCATTTCCCATTAACTAGACTGGTACATCATTATCCTTAACATGTGCTATTGTCAGAGTTTTAAGATTTTGCTGGCAAGAGCATCTGATTGCTCTTTTAATTTGCGTTTTTCCCTTTGCTAAAAGCCTGTTCTTAATTTTGTCTCCTTTTTTATTGCTTGCTTTTGAAAATTTGTATTTATTTTTTTCTAGTTTAATTCTCTCTTGTAAATTACATATGTTATGAATGCCTTCTCTTAGTTTATGGACTGTCTTTCCAGTTTTTATGATGTTTCTTGATGGTCAAAAGCTTTATACTTCAGTATACAGCTTTTTGAATTTAATAATGTTTTACATCATAATTTTATGCTTTTTGCTTTCTTGCTTGCAAGATTCTTCCCAACATAAGATGATAAACTGTTCTCTTTCTTCTGCAAGTTTAAAAGTTCAATTGTAAAAATTTTAGACACAGAAAAGGACAAATAATAACGTAATAAACACTCATGCACTCAGCTCTATGTATTGCAACATTTTGCGACCCCTCCTCCTAATGGTTCTTCTCTAAAATTACCTTAACTATACTTGGCTCCTCACTCTTTCATTTAAATTTTAGGATGAGCCAGCAAAGATCCATTAAAATAATTGGATTTTAATTGGGCATTATATGGAACTTGAAAATTGAATTTAGAGATTATTTTAGTGAAATGTCTTCTTATCTATGAACATGGTATTGTTATTTTATTCAGGTACTTTATGTGCTATTATGCTTTGTAATTTATTGACTATATTTCATTGTATTCCCTCCTAGTTTTATTACTAAAATGTCAGATTTCTCTCTTTAAACTATGTTTTCTAATTGTTTAGAAATACTGTATTAAGAGAGCATCAATTTCTATATGTCGGTACCATCTCCAGAAGTTTTGCTGAATTTTTTTGATTGTTTGCTTTATTTCCTTGTTACATCTTTGGATGCCCTACATAGGTAATCATACTACTTGTGAATAAGAAGAATTCTTTCTTTCTTTTTCTCTTTTCAAACTACTTATTCAGTTTTTTCTTTTATTTTTTAAGAGCTCATCCAATACAATGTTTAATGGAGGTAGTAATGGCATTCTTGTCCCATTTCTCACGTTACTGCAATACTGCTAAAGTTTTATAAGGAAGTACGATGTTTGCTGTGGGTTTTTGGTAAATACGTTACCAAGATTATTACGTGTTCTGTTTTCAGTTCATAACTTTTGTTGTTTGCTTTTTTTAACCATGAGTGACAGTATAATTTATTAAATGCTTTTTCTGCATCTACTGAGATAATCATTGTTTCCTATTCTAATATATTTATGGGAATGATTAATACATTTTCTGATGTTGAAGGAGAGGGAGAGAATTTTATTTTATATATGTTAATGGATGCTCACTTGCTTAAAAACTGGGTACTTTATGATTGCCAGTGTAAATAAATTAGGACAAGTAGATTCTCGTTGCATCACCCTCTGTATATGTCAGAGTCATTGCACAATGGTGTTTATAAACTGGATTAGAACTGCTAGTGCCTCATCTAGTAACTCTTACTGCTTACCTGTCCCCTGCTATTGTCAGAGAATGTTGAGATGGCAGTAATAGAAATAATGTTGTTAATATTCTCTTTTTTCCACATCACTTTTTTTCACAAAATGTTTTTATGTAGATTATGTTTTTTTTTTTTTCCTCAACATCACTGGAAAGTAAAGAAACAATGTTTTATTGTAATTATCACATAGGTAATGTTTTTACATTCTGAATCTTGATTTTATTTTCAAATATGGGATGGCCTTAGTAACTGCCACATCCAATTTTTTATCTCTCATATATACATATATTTTTAATTAGTTCAATAATTTTCTGAATGTAAACAATGTAGAATTTAGTAAATTAATAAGTACTGATGGGAAAGGTCCCCAAGATAAATGATCAAGGGATTAGTATGTTAATACTTACAGGAGAAGTTCATATTAATATAAATTTTAAATATATATGTGCATGTATGATATATAAAAACATCTGAAAGGATATATGCATTGTTACCTATAGTGATATAAGGGAAGGAGAATGAAGGAACATTTTCTTTTTACTCTCTGTAGTGCTATTTTTTTTTAATATAAGCCCATATTTATGTATTTTTAATTAAAAATACAGCACCGGAAGAATATGCCATTCATCTAATAGATGGTTTCTTGGAAAGAAAAAGGGCTGCATATAAATTCATTTGTATAGTAAATAGACATTTTAAATGTGTTGCATCAGGGGTAATCAGTCACTGAGAGTCCAAAGACAAAAATGATCCAAAGAAGGAAGAATAGATAAAAAAAAATCCATGATTCTTTTTTCTTTTTTGTCAAATTCTTGTCAGGAAGGATTCTAACACAAACTAATGGTAGACTTTAGTTTCTCCTAATTAGCATTTATTAAAATCATAGTCCCCATCCCCTAAAATCTTTGAGGTTAATCCTATCTTGCTGCTAGAAAACCAGCAGCCATTTATCTTACCTTTTAGGATCAGCATGAAGAGTCTTCTTTGTGTTTCTGAGACTTAGGCCAACAGTTATACCTTCAAACATCTTTTTCTTGCCTCTATTTTAGTGGGCCCTATTGTTTGTCTCCTGATTATTTCATGTCTAATTTTCCTCTGTCCTATAAGTTTCCCCTGTCCTATAGCATTTCCTAGCCATATGCCATTTTGTACCTTTCCTCATTACTCCTCTCATCTAAGATGAGAAATCAATTTCTGTCCTTATACTCTCTACTTAAATTAAGCAGAGTTATTTTTTATAAGCAATAGAAATTGAATCTGGCAAACCTAAAAACAGACTGCAAAAAGTTATAGAGTTTAGCATGAAGATGAAGGCTAGTATATTAGGTAATGGCAATGGATAGGAACCAAGAGGGGCTAGGAAATTGGGAACACAGCCTCATATAACAGTACAGATTAGGGCACTGCTGCTTTCAGGGCTTCGCTGAACTCAATGCTGCTGAAACCACTGTGAGTGACTTCTCAACTCTGCCTGTGTTATCTGCCTCATTACTTCAAGGTTCAAATTCTGGATTGAGATCATTGGATTAACTTACCCTAGGCTGTATGTCTGTTTCTCCATAGTCTCCTTGAAGTAGAGCCCAGAAATTTTGGCTTTTTTAATGGGAAATTGGGCACAAAACACACAATATGTTATTTTTCCAAAACCTGAAGGATTTTTAGATTCTAAGAAGTAACAAAATAAAGTAAAATAAATTCCCAAACAATAGTCCAATTTCACTGTCCATATAAAGTCTACTTTCTCCCTTGTTATTCTATATTTACTGATTGTTTTATTCTTTTAATCCTTGTTACATTTATAAGAAGTGAAATGAAACAACAATAATTTATTTATTAACTAAATTGTTCTGTTCTTTTTTATCTTATCTTGCATCTATGAATGTGTAACTAGGGTATCCCTTGATGCAGTTTGGGATGCAAAGAATGTAACCCCAAGAAGTGCCATGAGTAAAACACAAGCTTCCACCAGTTTATAGCAGCAGATAATTCAGAGAGCCAAACTTTCATTGTTCCTCCTAAGGCTGTGATCCTTTCACTATACCTACCAGCATCCTGATAGCAAGGAATCCATTCTAACTCTATCCCACATAAATTCACGAACTGTGATCAGACCAAAGAAAAAACTTGCCTTGGCTGGTCAGGATTAAAATTCACTGGCCTCAGAGTGGTCACAGGTTTTAGGGTGACTTCTGAATCGACTGGATAAGGCTTTTATAAGAATTGATCTATATAACCCAGAATTAAACTCAGTGCTGGTAGTTTCTAACTAAACAGGCTAAGCCCCTTTGGTGAAAGTTTTTCTCATTCTCTCATCTGGGTACTTTCCCAGGTCAGGGCCCTGAGTGACAGAGATGGGAGACGGTTCTATCTTCCCAAATAAAGAAGGCAGAAAGTTCACCTCAGGTTGATTGGTGCTGTTAGATGCTAATTTACTAGATATGGGGCATTTCTCCTGAAGGAAACCCTATCCCGAAGGAAGCCCTGTTCTACACACAGGTGTAGTAGCAGCTAAGGGAGTTGCTTGTCTTTAGTGGAAACCAGAGCAAGAAGGAAGATGTAGCACTTCCTGAGTTGGAAAATGACTCCATGGTTTGATATAGGGCCTCTCAGTGTGTTGGAAGAAGTCCCATGTATTACGATTTAGTATTAGCATCATACCACTATCAGCCACTCCCCAAATGTTGCATCACTCAAACTCCAGGTTTTACAGAGAATTTCCTGAGGTATTCAGTTTGGGTTTCTTCCTTCCTAGGATTCCGTGGGTTCTTTAACCAAATCAACCTAATCTTTCTCCTGCCATGAAAAAGAAGGAGTTTGCAAAAGTCAGTAA